TGGAAGCATGGACTAAAGCTGGTGGTGGATATTCATTTTAACCCATACCCAGTTGGGGGAAGTTAAAAGACTCCCAAAAAAAACACGAAACGGGATACCGCAAAATCGGACCAAGCTTGACATGCCTGGGAGATTTGGACCCAGATCTCTTGCAAACCCTGGAAATCTCGCTTGATACTCTTTGGTTGGACTGGAGGAATGCGGACAAAGCGATGGGAACGTTCCGGACCGCCCAATCGTTTTAGGGGAATCCGGATCGCTTGGTGGGGCTGGCTCCACTAAACCCATATCTTCCAAAACCACCCTCCAGTTTGGAGGTTTACGGGTAAACGAAGGTAACAGAAATTGCGAGAACTCCAATGACACCACTTAATGGACCAAGTCAAAGGAAATGGGGGTTTCCTAGTCTTGGGAAACATAGGCCCTAAGGTTCAATGAACACCAGTAAAAGAATGTTGACTCAATTCAGACGATGACATCCCTTAGGCAAACAATGGTGGCTATATTACCCCCCTTCCTCAATCATTTTATCTCAGGGTAGGTATAGGCTCTCCGGCCATGAGCAAGGGTTCTGCCTATCTGATCCAATCAAGCTTGCCACCTTTCTCGTAACACCCCAATTTGTTCAGTTGGCATTTGAAGAACCAAAAAGGTCATGGGAAAATGAGTGAAACCCCCCGTCCCTCCCAAATAAACCATAGACAAATCAAGAAATGTAGATTACCTAACAACCTGATACCTTAGAAGGTTCATCCTGGATCATACCGTTAAACAGTCGCCTCTCCAAGCCCGAATAGTTTCAGCTTCCTGGAGTGTTTTGGCGCACTTCCAAGAGAGGCGAATCACGTGAAACCTGCAAAAAAAAGACGGGGGGGTATTCCAATGGGAAAAGCTGTTTTGGGTCACCTTTAGAATCCACAAAAGGGGCACCAACAACAACACCGGGTCCACCGGGCAATATCAACCAGGAACGCGCTGAAAGGCAAACGAGTGTCTCTGCCCACTAAGATGTCCGCGCACATGATTTCCTGACGGTGGGCGAAATTGCTTGCAAGACAATCTCAATGGACCAATTGGGTCCAACCCCGGGGGGGAATTGCCTGAACCAAGAAGTTGAAGCCTGAAGGCCAATGACCAAGTCCTTGCTTCAAAGGGGGGCACACTTCTGGGGTATCAAAGCGGGGGTGCAACATGAAGCTTCATTCCCCGCAACCCATGGCTCGCGGAGGAAAGCTGCCCGAAAAGCTGCGGCGTTTTTTCGTTGGTGTCCTTAGAACCTGGGAACCGAAAGAGGAGCCGCCCAAAAGGCGAGCAAGGCAACGAGTTCGGGTCCCCTCTTGACCCATGCGCTGCGTTGCAGGCATCTTGGCTCCGCAAGTGGCTTCGATCGACTCATGATTAGCAAGAGCGACATCGGGCCTTTTTTGAGACCCCGGCTGCGCAAGTTACTCTTGTAAAGCCAAAAAGCAAAACAAAAAACAAAGAAACAAAGAAGAAAGCACTCTCCCGCCACCAATCACGCAGCGCACAGGCTGCCATGTCCAAGGGAAAAAATGCACGTTCCGACAGGTGTCTGTGCACTTTCACTTCGAACTAGGGTGTCAAAACCCTGCGCCAAGCAGCTAGTCGCTGTTCAAGCATCTGATCAGCTTCGTCCAGAATCACCGTCTGGATGTATGCCAATGAGATCCTTTGTCACTTTGCCACCCAATGACAAAGCCAGATTCCCCATTTCTTTTTCAGGCATTGCTTTCTTCAAGCACTTCGTATTTGTGCTTGGCTTTCGTGTCTTTTGTGGAAAGATGGACAAATGGGTGGTTGCCCATAGAATGACCGCCTTCCATGTTCCAAATCCTCATGTCGAACACGCATTTCAGGAAGCTGCATCTCCGGTCCGCACCTCCATTGGGCCTGAAATGGGCAGTTTTGAAGACCCGTTTGCCTCGGGCGCGGCCTTTCTTTGTTCACTGGGAGCATCTCAGGCGAGCACTTTGTCTCGTCCAAGAGGGCGACGAGTCGCCCAGGTGTGGCGCAAATGATGTCGATGGGGGCGGTCTCCACTCTCTTGGCTGTCTCCTTGATCGTCTCTCCACCGTAGATGCTCATCCTGGCTATGTCTGTGTGTGTGTGTGCCTCTTTCCTTAAGCGAACTCTCAAAGGGGCAAACCTTGGAAGACACACTGAAAGGTCGAGAACAAGCGACTTGCCTAGCACGGAAGATGTCCCCAGGAACAAGAGGGATGGTAAAAGCAGAAGGTTTGAGACGGGACCATCCCCAAAAAACATGCACGAGCCAGCACCCCCAAAAACTGTTTGTTGGATACCTGTGACTTGAAGGATTGACGAAGGCACTCCCTGCTGGATCCTGATTGTTCCTGGTGAAGCGAGCGCGGCCCGTGTGATGGCTGGCTTCCGGCAGGTTCACTTTGACTCTAAGCGCAACTTTGGATCAATGTCGGAGTCCGGGGCATGCTCAGGGCATTTGGTTTCCCTTGTGGATTGAAAAAGGGAAAAGTCCTTGGACTAATATGGCCATGGGTCAAAACCAATGGTACCATGTTGCGGTAGGTGAATTCACCACCCATTTTAGAACCTATTTTAGTGGGGATTGGGATGTTCACTGGGGGTACAGGGTTTTGACCCACAGCCATATTCGGACGAATCCAAAGTTAGCATTCGCGGACTCCGTCCATGTTTTGCCCCAAGCCAGCCCGGCTTCCGCATCTTTGGCCGAGTGGCTGTGTCAGCTTGGTCCTGGGCACATTCGCGCACGAAATCGCCCAAAACGGTGGAAAGGCCCATTCACGTAGGCAACCCACTTGCAGTTCTTGTCATTTTGCTGCCCCAAATACCTTCAGGTTCCTCTTGGTTTTACCCAACAAGCCGGGAGCAAACCCCAAAGACGAGCCGTTTTGAGGTCGACTCCACTCACCAAACGGGCTTCCTTGCACCCAAAAAAAAGCCGGGAGCCAGCTCCAACGACCTCGGGCCAGGGGTCCCTTTGGTGAGCACCTCCATCTCCGTGCAGGTCTGGATGGCCAGCTCCCTGGTCGGGGACAGCACCAGGACCACCGGGCAGCCCTGCTGGCGCGCTCGTCCGCGCTCGCTCGCCGCTTCGTTTCGGACTTGGTGCCAACCCGCTTTTGGAAGGTTCCCCAAGAAATCTTGCACCCCTCCATGGCAGGGTTTTGGCGGTTTTTAAGGACAACCCCCGAGCCATCTTGCGGTCCGCTTCCCATCCAAAAACAAAGAGACACACCCATGGCACCCAACACCCGCCGCATCCAAAGTGCCAAGGGTGGCAGGATCAACCCTACTGATTGACAAAAACAAAACCCCAGCCCTGGCTGGGATGGAACCCCGATTTGAATACTGGTTGACGAACCACCTACCAACTGGTGCAGGATTTGACCATTCGTAGTAGGAGTTAAGTACTTTCTTTGTTCATTTCTTCAGCCCGGGGCTAAATGTGTCAGACGTTTCCAAACGTTGACCCACACATCTGCGACCAACCAACACCTAAGTAAATCCCCTCGAAAAGAACATGCTGCACTTGTTCCAGGATCAAATCGCCAGTGTTGCGGAACCCACAAAAACCTTCAGGTTGGCCCCTTAGTTTGGAGAGGAATCAAAAAGTGCTCGGGTCTTACCAAAAAAAACACATCATGGATGCCCAAATGGAGCTGTCCGATCGAAAACACTGCCCCAATTCCAGGGGCGCAACCTGCGTTTGACACAAACGGCGACGAGGAAGTTCGGAGACGAAAGTACAATCGGAGCTTGGCTGTTGTACTGACGTGTGTTTCTTATCCTTTCTTTGTGTACCTGTGTCCTTGTATTGCATATTGGTGTTCTTGAGTAGGTTGTAAACGTGTGTCTTGCCCTCTAGGCGACGCTTGATCACCTATGACGTTGTGTGGTCAAAACGATATTTTCTACCGCAGCCGCTCCGCGACTGCTCCGCCACACCAGAAATTAGAACGTCTGCGACCCTCCACGCCCTGCTTGAGACGCTTGCGGTGCTCCCAGCTTCTGCTGCAGCAGCATCTGCGGCTGCAGCCACTTGCAGCTCTCCCAATGTCAGTGGCCAGGTGCAGCTTCCTCACGGAGGGGCGCTCCAGTCCCTTAGAACATCATCAGCCCGGACACAATGTTGCTCTGCATCAACTGCTCTGAAACGCTGGCGAAACTCTGATTCACCTTCATGCCGGGCAAGCGCACACGCATGCCAGCCATCAGCAAAGTCCAATCGAGCGTTCCTCACGCTCAGCAAAGAATGCCACGACATAAATGGGCCCGGCACATGCTCTGTGCAAAAAAGCCAGATCGGAGCACTGGCCGCCCCGCTGCCGGTATGTGCGGCAAACAGATCCTGCGCCCACTAAATGATATGGGCTCGACACGTCTGAAGTCAGCACACGAAAGGCTGGCCGTGCTCAGCTAGGCTGGATTTCTCGCCGGTTCATCTTCAGTCACTGCAGTCCCCCAAGCTTTGACAAACTCGGCCAAAACTGTAGGCTGGCAGAACCAAGGCTCAGAGCCACAGAGCCAAGTTGTCCAGGAACACCTGCTTCCACTCATGCTACGCGATCACTGTCTGCTGCAGGCTGTGAACAAACCTGGTCCGGATCGCGCTGCGAACTGCATGTACGGTGTGGCCCGTCATCTTGATTAGCACAAATGGTCTTTCTGAAGGCTCTGCCACTCCAGCACCGCCTGCTTAGCCGGGAGGGGGTTGGGCCACATGGCTGGCAAAACTTCTGATATCGGGAGATGACCACGGATGGCTTCCTTCCGAATCCTTATCACGGTTGTCTATCCTTCATCAAGGGGTTGATGATAAGTCCCATCTGACTCGCACACAAGAGGTGTGCTTCAATCTGTCTCTGCGCGCCTGGGCAGTTGGGCCCGCAAAGAATGGCCGAGGCGGACATCCACGAAGCAGTAGCCGAGCAATCCTGTCAGCCCAAAGCGCAAAGAGCTGAATGAGACTGAAGATCGTACTTTCGGATCAAGATTGTGCATGTCAGCAAAGGCTCCTGAAAGACATGATTGGGCAACCCCAACCCCCCCTACTCCAACAGCCCGGTGTGTTTTTTTCTTCTTCTTGTTTCTTCTTTTTTTACGGTATATGCAGCGAAAAGGGAAGTTGGGCATCACACCCGTTCAAATGGAGTAGTTGGAGTATTTGACAAAGGCAACAGCTCAGCCGGGCAGCGTAGGGATCACAAAGGCGAAGGTCTTGCCAGAGCCTGAGCGATCCCAAGAGAGGGACCCACATCGTTCTGAGAACCTGTCTGGGGTAGCTCGGCAGGGGGACCCTCCCCACAAATTCAAACAAAAGGTGGACGTCTGCAATACAGCGCCTCAAGCCGTGCTGTGTTTTCGGTATGATCCAATCACCCGGATACGGGGACGCAGAAGCCGAGCATGGAATCACGCCTGGGACCCGGGTCCTGATTTTTTTTTTAATAAAAATCCACGCCCGGAAGGTCCCGGTGCTTTTTTTGCTTGTTTTTGTTGCTTTCATGACTGTGGGGGGTGTTTCTCTTTTGAATTCACGCCTTGGGGCTCCGCTTCATCCAAAGGCCCTGGTGTTCTTCTCTTGAAGTTACGCTTGGGGGCTCCGGTGCTTGCTTTGTTGATTTCACTCCCCGGCGAGTTTCTAGAAGGATTTCTGGAAAGGATCCTTCTGGCCACTTGTATGTGCAAACCGGACAATAGTTCCAAAAACCTGCCAAATACTTGAATCACCAAGCAACCTCGATGAGCTTCTCGCTCGTCTTACCCCACCCCACCCCCCATGTTCCCCAAGAATCCCCATCTTTGGGTCTAAAATCATACCACCAGCAGAAATACCGCAGGGTTTCAGTCCTTGGTTCCATTTGCCGGCACCGTTTTGCGCATTTTTGGGGCTTCCCTTTTTCGACCCCCACGGCTTCCGGAATCCGAGGCGCCGGTCTGCGCCTGGGCCACGAGGTCGTAGTGCTCCGCGTGGCCCACGATGGGCAGCGCGTGGCGCTGAATCAGCGTGGGGCGCTTCAGACCCGCGGCGTGCCTCGGAACCCACGGGCCGGGGCGGGGAATCCCCCGGCAACGTGACGAGTTGGCAAGGTGTTGTGAAGCCCCAAATTTAGCAGGTCACGCTTAGTCAGTTTAAACATCAGGTCACCCTTAGTTGGTTTGGACCAAACATCAGGTGACCCTTAGTTGGAGCCCGGTTTGGGGAATGGAACCCCTGGTTCTTGTAGAAGGTACATGGGAACTCCTTAACCAAACTCCAAACCATCGAGCAGTGGGAAGCCCCGAACATGTTTACCATCGAAAACAAACCCTTCCCCATGTCAATGTACAGGTACTCGCAATTAATTCTGGCACGTGTCCAGGAACGAATACTGAACATCTTTGAGCAATGCCATGGATGGAGCCGGTTGGTATCCGACAGGACTGTGGGAAATGACCACTTCTGTGATACAACAGAAATGCATTCCCCAACACTAAACCCCCCATGTAAAGGGGGAGATTCCCTTGTATCACAGAAGTGGGGATGAACCCCTTGATCCCACAACCCTGGTATCCGATGTTTCCCAGTATGCAATAGGGGGTCATCCTTCTCCGCCGCGGCACAGTTTGTGCACCAAGGCCGCGTTCAGGAGCTTCCGCTCGCACGCCTCCCCTGGGCGAGAGGGGGGACCAGCAACCCCATGTCTTGGGACACGGCTGGCAGGGAAGAGTCCCCCAAAATAGTGAATGGTTGGCTTCTGAAGTGTCCTTTTTGGCTTCCCCGTCCATCCCAAAAAGAAAAAAAAGAGAATAGTGGTCCCCCAAAATCCTTTTTGGTTTCCACTAAAAATTCCCAAACAGAACAAAAAAAAGACACTGCATTCGACCATTGGACAATGCAACCATTTTTGGAACGGCCGACATCCCGTTTCAGAAAATTTGGGCCGATGGAGCACCTAGCGCTCGCAAGTTTCAGGGCGCCCCCTTCGGCCGAAGGGGCGCCAACCTGAATCCAGCACAATGATCGGGAAGGCGAGGGTTTTTGTTTTCTTCGGAAAAGACCAAGCATCGGCCAGCGCCCTTGCTGTTGACCACCTTTCTGCTGTTTTTCTGTCGGAGAAGCAGTTGTTGGGACCCGGCAACCCGGAGGGCGGCAAATCTTTAGGCACGGGTGAAAGAAAAAAACTTCGACGTTTGAGATATGGGAACGACTTGTAGGCTCAATTTGATTCGCCTCATGGAACATAGTGGGGCACCCTGTGAGCCCAGAAGTCCAAGTCGGACTTGAGCTGTCAAAGCTACACACATGTTTCCCCACATGATAAAATTTTGGCTCGGGCCAAGAAGGGTGCAATACGTTTGACCCATGGTGATGGAACACGTTTGGTTTTAGGGCCACTAACTATGCTATCGAGAGAACCTCTGCTTGCCATGACAAAGTAGTTGTAGTTATGTTTAAACTATTACAGAAATTACAGAGAGAGAGAGAGAGCCCCATTTCCCAATACATTGTCCTGACAGCAAAACAACCAAAAAAACACAAACAAAAAAAGGAAAAAAGTGGTGGGGTACCCCAAGTTGTGGCCAGCACACTCCAGGACGCCACCGGCTCCGGCAGCGTCTCGGGGCTCCGCTCCACCGGCAGGTCGTCGATGTTGGACAAGGCCGCCTACCCGAAGGGGGCCCCGAAGGCCCAAAAGTTCAGGGGGTTGGATTAGAATTTGGTGGGGGGGGGGGGTGAGGGGAGGGGGGGGGGAGGGCGTGAGGAATTTCGGGTCCCAAGGCCCAAAAAATATCGGCGGGGTTGGATGGGAATTTGGGGGAGGTTCAACATGATGTCATGGGACCAAGGGCCCCAAGATTTTCGTTTTTCGGGGTCCCAAGGCCCGCAACATTTCAGGGGGTTAGATGGGAATTTTGGAGAAAAACCAACACCTATCTGCAGAACACCTCGGAGTGTTGAGCACGTTGCGGCATTCGTTGCATCTTAGGAACCATTGACAAATCATGAATTGTGGACCAAACCTGGTATCCTGCAAATGGCTGATCAATATTTCTGGCCGAAACGACCATGGGATGTTTTTCCCGCCGGGGAAGGTCATTTCTTGTCCGGGTGGTTCTTTGAATGGTCATGTGTCTTAGTTCAGCAACAAGGACCCCTCTGTAAACAGGCCATTTGTTCGGGGGGTGGGGAAAGGGCTGCTTCATAGAAGGTACTTCGAAAGTGGTTCTTGACCCTGGTTGTACGTATGCTTAACCTGGCCCGATCCCGGGTAAAGCCATAAAGAGGATGTTCAGGAAGCCAGCTTGATATTCAGTCAACCCTGAAACAGATGTAAGAGAAGACCCCCAGTTAGAGGGCAGATTCCTTAGCACGTGTTGCGCGGCCAAAGGTAACTGGCAGGCTGATAGCAGTTCGCCCAATTGGTCCAACTTCTTTTGATCCCACCACCCGCAGACCAAGGTAGTGCCGCCGGTAGCACTCGCAACATGGATTTGTTGACCCTGAGGCGATGGGCTGAAGTGTGATCTAGGGCAACGGTTGATCTAGGAGGGGTTTCAGTACACCCAAAGCCACTATTTTGAGGGTAAATTGATGCGAAGAGGCTTGGAACAAATTGTTTTTCAGGTTTTGGTACCGTGACGAACGAGCCGAAAGGCGTGTGTCTAAACAGTGGCGTGAACATGTTCGTTGCTTAGTTCTGGAGGTTCCCACGTTGTGAGGCCCCGGGTCACATCTGCCAGATGTTCCACGGCATACGGCGATCGATGTTTCGCGGAGTGTAAGGAGACCCAGCTGGACATGAAGTTGGTCAACAGAAACTGCTGGGAAACCCTCTCGGAGTGGACCTTTCCGCCTGTTCAACAAGGGGATTCGGCTAAAAGGCACAGCGAGAGGCTGACACTTGCGGTCATTCTCAGGGAAAGTGAGAGGACATGATTTCTACACGGAGGGGCTTCCATAATCTGAGTGCTTTTGGTGAGGGTACCCTTTTCACCTTGGATTGAAAAAGGGGCAACAAAGCTAAACACATTTTCTTCGGGTCCCCCTATTTTGACACATCTCATGATGGGGCTTGGTCTTAGCCTCATGGGCTCTGCGGTGATCAGCGCGAACATTCTGGATGTTGTCCAGATCTTCGTCTTCGCTGCTGGGCAGCGTTTCCTGCCAGCACGTAGGTGCACCCATTTAAGTCTATTCTAGTGGGGATTGGGATGTTCACTGGGGGTACGGGATTTTGACCCTGGCCAAATGACTCAATTCAGCCAGCAAGTTGAGGACCTTCATCGCAAAGAGGTTGTCTTCCCCCGGGAAATGGCGAGCTTTCTAGGATTTGCCCAAAGGGCTGTACAGAACATGCACCCCTTTGCGTCAAGCGGGCCAGCCCCGCGAGTTGATCCCTTTGAAAGGAGATTTCATCATGGTGTCAGAAACAAGCGGAACAATGTTCCTCCAAAGAGTTGTGTCAAGATCCGACCAAATGGCAAAGAAGGAGTGTGGTGTTGTTTTTAGTTGAAGCCGAAGCGATGAGTGCAAATCAAGAATCAGACTCCGGCTTCTCAAAGACGACCTCGACAGGCCTCGTGCACATGATCTGGGCACATCAGTTACTCTTTCACAGGTCCCTTTCGGGACACACCAAAAAATCGTCCTTTCTGTCGAAACACTTGAAGCAGCGCGGAAAAAGCGCTGTCGACAAGAAAGCTCGTTGAACGGAGCAACTAGGGCTTGGGAAGAGGGAGTCGTGTTGGCTGGCCCAACGGTATGGTTCAAGGCACCCCTCTGGTCTGCCAAGGCTACTTCACCAAGCACTTCCCTACTTTTGCACACGGTAGAGCCCACCAAATTACTAGACAAAATAGATTAGGCACGGCCTTACTTTTTGCATACTGCTCCACTAAGCGCCCACCAAGCACTGGAACCCTTCACTTCCTTCAGCGCGCCCGTAATCAGTGCGTGGCAAGGCTGGTTTATTCATTGGTGCGCGCTTGCTGGCAACATGGGGGGTGCTGCAACCTTATCTTAGCCCTGCACTTGTTCAAGCGCTGGCTCCTGGGGGGGGGGTCATTTGTTTTGTTCCTGGCAAAGTGTGGCGCTGCTTCAGTCTTGACAAGAGGTTGCTTGACCAAGCTTTGGCCGGTCCCTTGGTATTCACTTGGCTTTCTCTTGCTCCCTGTATGTCCCCCTTGCTTCCCCATTTTGTGTATCTTTTCAGGTTTGCCCTCAGTCTTCACTTCTTTGGTGGTGGGTTGTCCCTTAGTTTTTGCTCGGTTCTCTCTTTGCGTCTTGTTTTCCCTGGGTCTCCCACTGGCTTTCAGTGCTCCCAGTTCTGTTTGTTCCCTTTGTCTTGCTGGTTCTTCCTTCCTTCCCCCAGGGTAAAGAAAAGGCCTTGCCAGGCCTTACCCCTTGCAGCCCCATGGTGTGCTCCACTGCTTTCCAATTGGTTCCTGATGAGCTGTTACATTGGTTTTCCTCCGGGCCATTGCCTTGGCTACCTTCCTTGGCATGCCATTGGTTTTCACTTTCTTTGTTGACGTTGGAAGGGGAGCAAAAATTTATATATATTTTTAAGTGGGGATTTCCCGCTAATATGCAAAAATGTAAAATGCTTCCCAACGACAACCATGCTTTGGTGCTCCATCGGTTCTCCCTTAGATTTGTTCGTTAGCTTTCACATGGTTTCGCTTGCATTGGTTTCTCGCTTGGTTCCCCAACAGTTTTCTTCGAAGAATTGGGTCCTACAAGCTTCCCTGACCTCCCACGTCTCAAGCCTCACCCAAAAAATAATAACAAGGGCCCCACCACCCCCCATTTGCAACCGAATGCAACTCAAGCTGTTAGGAGCAACGAGGTTTGCTGATGCTCCCGCTTTCAAAAGCGCACTGAAAGTGGCGGCGCCGAGTGGCAAACTCATAGAATTCGCATGTACAACCCATTCGTCAACTGCCCCAAGCCATTTGCAAATCTTTGGAAGGCTTCCCTGACCCTTCCCCTTTCAAGCCCCCCCACATTTTAACAAGCGAACCTTCTCCCCCTGCTCATTAATAGGGGGAGCGGCCTCAAGAAAACATCCAACCAACCTTGCGCCCTTGAGTCAGGGGGAAGTTGGTCAATCCGAGGTGAGCATGTACAAGGGGAAATCCCGCCTAGGGGACGTATTAACTGCGGATATGAACCACTTCCCTCGCTAAAAAAACACCATTGGCCTGACAGATGATGCTGACATTATTTCTTAAGAACTAAACAACCCCGACTCTTGACTGGTTGAAAGCCCAACGCTGCAGCCTGGGGGTTACCCGTACCCCGGGCATCCTTTTTTGCTTGGTTGCAACCGCCCCGCTCTGCTGGCGAGCGGCACGGGGGCGTCTTTCAGCAGCGCCTGGACCTCCGCGGACTTGAGGCCCTCACAGCCGCGCCCGGCCACCGCCACCACGCGCCAGCCGATCTCCACCCCCGCCTCGGAAAACACAAAGGCCAGGCGGGGTGGTCACCCAGTTCTTCGGTGACCCTGGAAAAAAAGGGAACCCGTTTTGGGGAAGACCGGATTTTTGGTGGGGCAGCCACCAAAAGAGAAGGGAAAAAGAATTGGTGCCACTGAACAACTGAGGTCAACAATAGGTACCCTCACTACGACTCCTGCCAGAGGGTCCCTAGAAGAGGAAAATGATCTTCCAGGCACCATCCCGAAGGTGCTGGGAGGGTCTGGTAAATGGAAACATGGCCGAAAACCTGATGGAAAGCGTTTAACCTTTGGTCATGTTGCAGTGACCGGAGATGTGGTGACTCATGGTGACTCTGTTTCCTTGGCACGGCCATTCCGGCAGGCAGGCGGTGAGTGTCTTTTTTGAGGGTACCAGCCAAAGGGAACACCACGATTCTAGAAGTTCCCTTGTTGACATGTACCCACATCAGAAAAGCCAACCAGCTGACCATTTCCCATTTTGGGGGTATGCTCTGATCCTGTTTCAAAGTTAGAGAACCTTAAATATGACATATGTTCTGAGGAGACACCAGTTTATGTAACAACTATTCCGTGGGTTGGTTGGACTTGTGCGAGTCTGGAATTCGAATCCCGTTCTCTTCAGCCAGCGTCCTTTTCACAAACCAGCCGTTCCAACCTGGGTTTTGGCAGGCTTTGCGGAATAGCTTCTTTCTTTTAACAGGCCGCTTTTCTTGGGTTTTGGGTGGGGTTCTGAAAAGAAGCACTGAATGGGGAAGTTTTGTTGTTTGAACTACCGTACTGGACATGAGAAGCATACAATGAGAAATATGGTTGGGTTCTGGTACTGGAAAATAAGCGGAGGACAGTCTAGCTGTACTTCCTAACAGGTCTTGGCCGGGATCCGTCTTGTCAGCAAATTGAAAAATAAGGGTGTGCGTTTTTGGAGACCCCTTTTGAATGGTTTGAAGGTGAAACCATTCAATGAAACCGCCCCTCTTGTTTTTTGCTGTTGTTTTTTGGCGGGGGTGTCTGCTACTTTCAGCCAGCCCATGTCGAAAATTTGAGTACGTAGTTGGGCAAAAGAACAAATCAACCTTTGGAAAAATACTCTCCCAAAATGGTGGGGGATTTCAAATAGGTGTAGCCCTTTGGGCTTATTCAAATGAGCAGTACGCACAACCCGTTCATTTGAATTTGGGTTCTACCAAGACGGTTATACAAAATCATAATTTCTACAGGTCTCATTGGAGATCCCAATCGCACCAAATAGCAGAGAACCACCTCCTCAAACGGCCAATAGAAATTTCGGGCGCTGCTCAGATAGTTTCCCGACTGCATCCAAAAGGACGGGCCCCGCTCGCCCAATGTGCGGTTCCCGGTTCAGCTTGGTGTGCTTTCAGGCCAGGAAGGCAGAGGAAGGCACAAAAAGGAAGGCAGTGAAGGAAGCGGCGATACTCAATGTATAACAACTGTAACCCCCCCCAAAAAAAAAAAAAATCCAAAAGGGTCTGTCCATCGGTGAGGGCAGGATTCGCCAGGAGAAAAGCCGTCGCCTCAGCTGCTGGCTTCCCTTCTGCCACCTTCTCCACCACGTAGCCGCTGGCCTGAAGCTGAAGCTTCAGCAAGCTTATGCGCCTTATCTTATTTGCACCCAGGGATGGCACCCTTCGACGACCCAAAAAGAAAAAAGGTTGAGGTTCTCTCTGGGCAACGCACCCTTGCAAAAAATGACCTAGTGGAAGCAACTTGAACTGGGCATTGCCAGTAGCAAAAAAGATGCAAACGGAACTGCTTGGCCCACACTTGCCACTCCAGGCTGTATTTGCAATAACCCTTAGGGCTTGCTTCCGGCCTTTCTCTTTGTGCACCTACACCAGCCTTCCAACCCGAAAAACTTGGACGATTTCGAGGCGCTGGCAGAGCCCAACCCCCACAAAACAACCAAACAAGCCCCAACCCCCACAAAACAACCAACCCCCACAAAACAACCAAACAAGCCCCAACCCCCACAAAACAACCAAACAAGCCCCAACCCCCACAAAACAACCAACCCCCACAAAACAACCAAACAAGCCCCAACCCCCACAAAACAACCAAACAAGCCCCAACCCCCACAAAACAACCAACCCCCACAAAACAACCCAAAAAACCCCAACCCCCACAAAACAACCAAACAAGCCCAACCCCCACAAAACAACCAAACAAGCCCCAACCCCCACAAAACAACCAAACAAGCCCCAACCCCCAGCCAACACAAGCCCCAACCCCCACAAAACAACCAACCCCCACAAAACAACCAAACAAGCCACAACCCCCACAAAACAACCAAACAAGCCCCACCCCCACAAAACAACCAACCCCCACAAAACAACCAAACAAGCCCCAACCCCCACAAACACAACCAAACAAGCCCCAACCCCCACAAAACAACCAACCCCCACAAACAACCAACCCACAACAACAAAACAACCAACAAGCCCCAACCCCCAAAACACAACCCCCACAAAACAACCAAACAAGCCCCAACCCCCACAAAACAACCAAACAAGCCCCAACCCCCACAAAACAACCAACCCCCACAAAACAACCAAACAAGCCCCAACCCCCACAAAACAACCAAACAAGCCCCAACCCCCACAAAACAACCAAACAAGCCCCAACCCCCCCACAAAACAACCAACCCCCACAAAACAACCAAACAAGCCCCAACCCCCACAAAACAACCAAACAAGCCCCAACCCCCACAAAACAACCAACCCCCACAAAACAACCAAACAAGCCCCAACCCCCACAAAACAACCAAACAAGCCCCAACCCCCACAAAACAACCAAGCAACAAAACAACAACAACGCAAACCCCCCCCCAAAAAAAAAACGAAGACCTCACTTCGCCCACGACCTTCTCCCTCGCAAACCCCCCGTCCCGTCGGCGTCATGCGCCTCCTTGGAAGGCGCCATGCCAAAGGGTCGGTGCAGGGACAGCGCGGCGCGCTCCCGGGGCTTCTCCTTCGCCTGAAAAAGGCCACGGAGCTTGGCCCAGATTTAAAACGGGAGCTTGGAGAAGCGGCGCCTTTTTTATCCTTGCTTGTTTTTGTTACTCTGTTTTCGTTTATATGTTATAATTTATTTTTGTGGATGTCACCCGGTCTGCGCCAAACTCAATGCTACGAGGAAGTTGGGTGTTTGTTGCTACGCTGATCCACTGTATACAAGTAGCGCCTACATTGGCCGACGCCAGCGTTGTTCAGCTACATTGCGCCGATAAAACCTGAATGTAGCCGATTTTTGGGGACATTCAAACCCACCAGATCCGACAAGGGTTCCGGCAAACTTTCCGACAACAATTTCGATAACAATTTCGACAACTCCGTTCAAAGACGCCTTCCAACCACTCTTTTCAGTCCGTTGGGGAACAACTTCAAACTCACAGGGCAGAAAAAGACAAAGGCAGCCTCGGAGTGACGCATTGCAAACTAACAAACATGCGAATGCCTGGCAAGCGAGCCAACCCCGGCTATCACTGTCGGCAAATGTTGCTTACCTGTCAGCGCGCAATCGACTTGCATAGCGTCGCAGGTCTACCTGGTTGAAGGGTTGGCTTGCTTGACCAAACATTGTGGCAAAGAAGCACGTGTTCGATAGTTCAAACTCTTTAGTCCTTGAATTTCCCGTGCAGGGTGACACCAAGGCAACGCAAGTTAGCCAAAACCTATCAAAAAGCCAAATTATTACGGATAAGAGCTACGCTTGGAGGAAACAACTATTTGCAAAACACTTCGAAAAAGGAGATCCGTCAGTCCAACAAAGTCGACCCACACTGCACTGACGGGGGTCGCTACCCCGAACAAAAGACTTCAGCTGATGATGCGGCATCGTTGCTGTCTACACGGCGTATATCTAAACAAGACGCGCTACTTCCGGTTTGTTTGCTAGTTGCGACCTTTGCCGTCGCGAGGCAACTGCCCGAATCATTTAATTGAGTACGCTTACAGAAATGCGCGCTTACACAGGGGCGATAGATCATCATGGCAAGTCGCTTGCAAACCAAACATCAATAGGGTTGATTTTCCAGAAACACATCTCCAACCACAAAAGTTGTTTTAGAACAATGATGCCACGACCCCGTCCAGAGCGCAAGGCGCCCTGTTGCGTTGAACTTTGAAGCAGGTGTTTCATCTGTTTCGAGGAAGCTCCCTTTAAAGCCACGTTAGCAGTTCCCAAGCACAATTCGACTGGTTTGGGCTCTAAGCAGACCTTTCTCCCATCCATGAGTCGCAGTCGCAATGCAACAACTCGCAGCTTGAACACGGATCAGCTTGCTGTGTAGGTCAAACGGGAATGTCAAACAAAATGTGCTGGGAAGGGCTCAAGTGGCCTTGAGGAGAATGGACTGGACTGGACGGATATGACGCTCCACATGTTGCTTTGCAAGGAGCTCGATTATTCGATGAAAGCCCAGCTATAAAGGACACGCGCTTTGTGAGAGCAGAGCTCAGAGTGTGATTCGTCGTACTTGTTTTTTTTGGAATGCCCCCATGGCTTTTTAACATTTTTTCTATGCGCGTTGCCCGGACATGTGGCGCGAACTCTGTGGCCTATGCTGTCCCTGCCAGTTTATCTCCGAACATTTGAAGCTCTTTGCCCTCATTGGGCAGTTAGCAGCGCTAAGGCTATACTCTGGTCTGACAAACGCTTCTCCTTTTGGGCCTGCCAAGTCACACGCCAAATCCCTGACAATCTGTTGGAAGGCTTGTTTCTTTTCGTACTCCGAAGTGTGTTCAAGCCATCGCGGCTGAAACAAAAACACCTTTCCCATTGGACAACTGGTCCTCCTGCGAACAATCTAACTTGAATTGGCCAACATGACACGCGAGCAAGAAGGCGGAAACTAATTGCTGGGCCATTGGCTGTGGAAAATGTCGTGGCACACTTTAGCCAGGACCCGCCGTTTTCAGGTTGAGAGAATTTGAGGAAAACTTTGCTGAGCTGCAGTCGGAATGCCCTAATGCACGCAGCCTGCTTGTGAAAGGGAGTATGAAACTTAAGTGGCAAAAGACTGAGGATGGTGTTGCATGGTAAAACTTGAGCCCTTGCTTAATTAGAAGTTAGGACATCTACCTGGCAAGTCCGGGCTCACTTTAAAAATTAGTAGCGGCAAGAAAACGCATGACAGGCCGTGTCGGAGAACGAATATTGCATGGCACGTATTGGCTACAATGAACAGTTTGTCATAGCATGTGTATCCTCCAATGTGGGTGGGGTAAGAAATCATGGATGGGCATGTTGAATCTTGGGATAAGGGCAATGACCTGAAACGAGGCACACAAAAACCTTGTTTCATTACGCAGTACATCGAGACAAACATAATATTTATTTGAGTACATATTACACCAACATGTTGTTGATTCATCTGCCTGGCCAATTTGAGCCGTGTTTTTTGCAAATCGAATTATTTCCCAAGAAGCCTTCTTGCTAGGTATCTGCTGGTTTGAGTTCTGGATAGATGCAGGAGCTTGAGTGGCCAACTTGAGAAGGGGTGACACGAAAGGTAGGATACCGTAAAGTGGTTCCCCTAATGAAAGGAAATGGCTTGCATCGAATACCATTCAGGTGCACAGGTGCACTGGAGCTCAACAGCTTGACTACGTTGAGAAATGTCCCTTTCGCGAAAAGGGGCAGTACTTGTTGACCATGTAAATTGGGCACTAACGAAGCGAGCAAGGGAGAAGGTGCACCGTGATTTGACGAGCAAAATGGTGCGAAAAGCGGACCGAAGTGTGAAGTGAAGCAAGCGAAAAGAGCTGAAAGAGGAGCGAGGATCAGAGGGCGGACCAGGGGAGAGTCGAAGGGGGGGAGGGGGGGGGCCGACCCGTGTTTGCTTTGGACTCTTCATCTCGCAGTCAGGAGCCAGCATTTAAGTCCCAAACAGAATGCCTACGCACAACCAAGAACATGCCCAATCCCAAGTTTGAAGTAGTATTCAAAAATTGCGCCCCGCTGGTAGCTGTTGAGTGATAAAAGGGATTTTACCTTGTTTCCTGATAGAGGACAAGCTAAATTGGGGTATGAAATTGCCGCCCTGACTTTTAGCGGCAAACGCCGTCGTGCCAGTGATTTGCACGCCAAAACGGCATTGCAAAGTTGACAATTGGAGCGGCTGCCAGTAAGTGTGCAGAAAGTGGCGCGTGTTGTAGTACAAGCGTATAATTTGTTGGTATTTTGCATGGCCTCGTCCGTGCACATAAACGGAGTCTGCATTTCACAAGCGCAAATCGCAAGCGCAGAGTATGTTTACAGTATCCATGCTCGTTCAAAAGCAATGGGCTCCATGCTTTGGTCACTGCTTGCCACTGGTAACACGCAACCAAAACCATGCTTGACGTTTCACCCATTGCTCCCCAAACATCCATACTTTGAAGTGCTTTATTCAACACTGTGACGAATACTGCTCAAACGAAATAGACCTGTGTAGCAAAGGGGGCTCTATGCGGTATGTTTGCGGCTAAGTGTGAAGGCTGGTAAGAAAGATCAGCTGACTTCGTGCGATGGAGATTGGCTGACAAACGTCGTTCGACTGTCCGACCGGGGCTCTTCCAATCGATATCATTTTTTGGCTACATACCAATGTACCCAAAAAATGGTTACATTTCAATGTATGCCATATTTGCCTACATGGATTCTCTGGGCTATGTACCCCGAAGGCGCCCCGAAAGCTATGGCAGACTGAAATGTTCGGATACTCATAACTGCTGTCCAGGAGCAGAAATCGGACCTCTCGCAATGCTCACGATTGTTGGCTTCCTTTTTGGCTCCATTCAACACCATCCGAAAGGGTCTGTATCAAACTAGGGAGACACCAGAAACGACGGCCTTTCCTTTCATTTTGGCTTCCCTTCAAACCAAGGTGAAAAAAGTACTCAAAAAACAGATGCCAAGGCATCTGTGAACTGCCGACGGCACCGCCTTGTCCTGCGGCTTCTCCTTCACTGGACTGGCACTGCTGCTGCACCTTGCACCAGCGGATCCGCAATTTTTTCTTCGAGGAACCAGCCTCAAAAAACATCGCCTTGCGCCGCAAAACGGCCCGCTCAACCAAACCGCCCAAGTCAGTTGACAGCGTGCAACTCTGGTCCACAGCCCCAGCTCTGAGCTGGCGGCCGCTGCTTTGCGCGGTCCCTGCCTGCATGGCGGGGATCAATGGCCAGGCTTGGTATTAAACAAATGGGCAACGGAGACAAACATGTACGGTGGCGAGCAAATTGTTGCCATGCCCACCTGTCGTTTTGACCCTTCATGAAGTACTTCACAGTGTTCCTGGCGCCCCGTATGGCCATTGCTTTTCGGCCGTACAAGTGAAGTGCACGAAGAAAACTTGGGCTCCAGCCCGAAAATCGCACCTTTCCGTACACGTGTAGGGCGCGCAGCACGCTTTGGCAGCTCCAGGTCGAAAATTGACACTTCCCAACATGAGTTCAGCACATACACTTGGCAGCTGCAGCTTGAACATCACAACTCTAAAGCGCAACTCTTGTGTACAAAGTGCACTGCGGCAGCTCCACTTCAGCTTTCACCTCGAAAATCGCTTCCTTGCACAGCTGTTACTCTACTGCTGTAACGTTGTTTAGCTCTGTTCTGCCTCCATTTCGCATCGAGCTGGCCAAGAAGCAAGGTTCGCGAAGAGAACAACCACCCCTGCAAGGCTCTTGATGAGTTCAAACTGCTGCAACACGACATGCAAACGCGGCATACTCAGAGCACTGAAAACCAAACTCCTGCAACACAGCCTGCAACCAGCCCCAACAATCCATCAAGCTTGCGCAACCTCAATGTGGACTCCACTCCTTGCGAAATGGAATTGGCTTTGCCGAATGGCTCATAGTCATTTCGCGGTCCATCTGACTGACCAGGCTTCACGGCCTGTGTCCCAAACTCCACAACCACAAGTAGCACATCAAATGGCATGATAGGCATGGCTGAGTATTCTCTTGCTGATTGTCCCACCCTTCATTGCCGACAGCCCTCGTTGATTAGCCAATATCTGGATATGGACAGTCTGCAGCTGGGCCAATTCGACATGAGCAGTGCGGATGTGATTGCTTGCGCCAGTCCAGGAATCATTGATACCATCGGACACCCGCTTCATGGTCAGCAAGTCCTTTCGTTTCTTTCAGTTGGGTGAAACTAGATAGCAGGACTCCCCAATTTTGGGTGTCTTTCTTTGCTTACCCCACAAAAAGCGAGAAACATGCCCCAACTCGACGTGGCTTCCCGCCTCTGGTGCTTCTGCTGCGGTCTCGACCATTTCGAGCCATTTGCGCTCCGCGCGAATAATCCGGGCGATGGGTTGTTTTCAAAAAGATATCCGACTTTTGCGCAAACGAACACCGCCCATGGAATATCCGTAGCTTTCAGGGATTCGGCACTTTTGTCGGCCCTGACCGGTTGCCAATCTGGAAATTCACTGATCAAATCGCAGCTTGCTTGCCTGTGACTTGAGCCTGAACACGCCACCTTGAGCCACCAATTGAAATGTTAGTTAATCGCTGGCATACGTCAGACTTGCCGTTGCTTTACACTACGCCTTTGAAGGGATGCTCACCGCTTGACTTCAGAAGAAGGGCTTTCATGTAGTCTGCACAACGGGGAGTTGACGTTTCTTCTGGCAACAGTGGTGACACCACGCCACACACACACACACACACATCTAGGGTGTTTTGCACACTGTGCTGGGAGCTTGTCGAAACTAGCAAAAATCAACGTGAAACCAACATCACAGCAGTTCCCCAAGTCGATCCGGTGCAAGAACCCGAACTACGAGAAAGAGAGGCAACCGTTGAAAGTAATACAGCCTCAACTTGCAATGAAACATGCCATTTCAGGTCCAAATGATGTAGACGTCCAAATGGAAACTTGGGCCAAAGATTTCTCGGATTTCTGCGAAACGCGGATTGGGGATAAGGGAAGTTCTCACAACAAAATTCGACAGTTCAAAGGGCACCTTTCAGAAGTGCGCTTTAATCCGAACCCCGTATAGTTTTGAAAAGCCTGGGTCCAAACCCACACCACAAGATAGTAGAAGTGCATCATGAGGAGTGCTATGCAGTTGGAGGCGCTTGCAGGATTGAATGCCATTACGATATCCGTCTGCTAGCATTCAAGAAAGTGGGAACATGCACATGGATTCCACATGCAATAGCGACCGACTGCTGCAAAGGATATTGAGGGGGCAGGCAGCCGCAAATCCATTGCCTTGTCCATGAAGGGCAAAATTTGGGTTAGAATCCTGTTCGTTAAAGGTCCCGCGCGCTGCTCCTAGCCTCAAACCACAAAGAACCCAGAACCCAAAAGCCGACAGCAAGGCGCACACCTTTTTACCGGGTTGTTAAGGCATGTTGCACTGCTCCTAGCTTGAACCCAAACATGAACCCCCAAAAGAACAAAGCAAGTCCGAAGCGGCCGCCTGCTTCCAGGGCACTGGTGCGCCTGGAACAGGAGGCGCGTTGACCCCCCTGAAATTTGAAAAGGCAAGACAACGCGTGTCCTTGCATACAAATGCAGTGCTTGCGGGGCGCGGCATGCGTGCCCACGCCCCAAGGTCCGGAGACCGAAAGGTCCGGAGACCCGAGGTCCGGAGACCAGAGTTGGTCCGGAGACCTGGTCCGGAGACCAAGAGGCCCGGAGACCACCAATGAAAGTGCAGAGCGTCTGCTACCTATACTTGCAGAGCCTTGTATAAGGCAGTGCAGGGTGGGTGGGTGGGTTTCAAATGAAACCGCAGGTTTGGGTCAAGGCCAAAACGGCCAACGCGTAGTTCGATTCACAACATGCCCTAAACACAAGGGAAAAGAAACCCTAAGCGTTAAGGCATGTTGCACTGCTCCTAGCTTGAACCCAAACATGAACCCCCAAAAAAACAAAGCAAGTCCGAAGCGGCCGCAGTTCTTTTTACCGGGATTGCTGAAAGTAGCACTGCTTCCAGGGCACTGGTGCGCCTGGAACAGGAGGCGCGTTGACCCCCCCTTCAGTGTTTCAGGCAACCCCGCTATAAGCGAGCCCGCTGGGCCGCAGGCCTCATCACCCCCTTCAGAGTGGGGTTGTACCTGGCAGGGCAAATGTTTGTGTGGCCATGCACGCTGGGCTGTGAGCAGCCTGTTACTCAGGGTCTGCACTTTTTCCGGTCAGAGCGGCTTGATATAAGCGGCTGGCTGACGCTGCCAGTTGTTCTGGCTGACAGGGCGACGACGGCCATTTGGTCGCAAGGCATGTCGGGATGCAAATAAGGCTGGCTAAGCAGTGACGGAGGCAGCTGCCAAATGCTCCGGGCGCCAGGGCGCATGCATCGGACACAGCTGAATGCCTCGGCCTGACATTGCTAGGCCCGCAGGGCTGAAGCGTATGCGACTTTCAGGGCGATGGCGGAATCGGGCCAACCGACCTGTGCTGAGATCGTCTGCCCAATCATTGCACCTTCCTGGAACGTGCGTCGGCTGCAGCAGCACATTGTGAGCGTGAGCCCAGAAGGCTGTTAATTGCACGAAGAGCTGCAACGGCCAGGAGGTCGTGAACAACTTGTTAAGGCTTGCTTCCGTTGCGGAATTGTCCGTGCCTGAAGGCATGCTGAACGAGTAGTGCCCACCACCAATGTGGCTGTGGGTTGCTTGCAGTAGTGCTAACTGTGCCAGCGTCTCGAAGCATGCGATGTACCGCTGTCCAGGCTTGACAAGGCAAGGCCACACGGCTCGTATGTCCTGCATGTTCCAGGTCTCGGCAAACCAAACCACTTGGGAGGATGTGATTGCCCAGCCCCCGATCCCTACCAAGTCGTCTTCGGCACACGCATCCGCGGCAGCCAGAGCTTGCAGCTGGTGTGGCCGCGCCAAGGGCTGAACAGGCGAGTGCTGAAAGCACAACGCCAGCCAAGTAAGGCATTGTTGGCTTGACTTGGAAAGGCTAGTGTATGGGTTATTGGGGTCCGCGATGCGCACCCATGTGGGCTTGCTAGTGCCAGGCACTTGCGGGATGTCCTGAGGGCAGTTGGTGCGACCCGAAATTTCCAAGATTTTGGAGCCCACTGTGATCCACAAGCCCGGAAGGCTATGGCTAGTTTTGAGATCCTTGTTCAAGGATGCTCTAAAGGCTGACCACATTTGAGGCGGTATCGAGTGCATCGAGCCTGGTGGGCTGTTGAGGTCCGAGTATAGTGGCGCTAGCCAGGATCTCAGATGTAGGGCAATGCTGGTGGCCCAAATGATCAGGCCTATGCACTGCTCGAGTGTTTTGCGGGGTACCCGTCGGTTCCCCAGCAGTGCTTTGATCAAGGCGTCCAGCTTGGTCAGCTTAGCGGACACGAGCTGAATGGTGTCGTGGGAGAAGTTGATCTCCCAACCGCACCAAACAAGGCTGTCCTGGAATTGCGCCTTTTTCCATGAAATGGGCATGGCGCAAAAGAAAAGCACCACCAAGGCAAACATATCTGGCGCGCTATCCCGGAAGAGTGCACACAGAAGGTCGTCCACAAAAAGGAAGGCTTTGTGGGGCTTCCAGGCCAGCAACCCATGCACCTGGCGAAGCAAGAATGCGCCAGTGCGCTGCCACCAGAATGCCGAGAAACGGCCCCCAAAATGGCACACTCTGTAATGATAGAGCTTTCCTTGAAATGCGAAGAGTAGAAGGCCATGCTCTTCAGGGCGGACCTGCACCTGTTTGTGTGCGGCTTTGAAGTCAATGCTGGCGCCCACGAAGGCGCCTGGAGTGTCCTCTGGCTGCGTGGACAGCGCCAGGTCCGATGCCATTGGCAAGCTCAGGCGCTCTGGTAGATGGCATCTGGTATTCACTTGGCACACGGTGCTGTCCAAGACAAGGCGCGACTCTTTCCCTTCTGCAAAAACGACATTTAACTTGCCTACGGCAATGCCTAAGGGTTCGGCGATGCTAAGGCCGGTTTCTACAATCCAGTTGTTGGCAATTTCATTGCGCAGCAAGCCTTGCACGGTTTCTGGCTCGTCCTCGGCCATCTTCCAGTTGCCCTCGCAAATTTCCAGATCCGGCGGCAGCGCGGAGTCTGGCTTCTTTGCCGGCCATTGAAGGCTGGGTGGCAAGGCTGACACGGCTCCTGTAGGTACGCCGTGTTGCAGAAATGGCAAGAGGGCCATGTCTGGGTCACCCCAAGAGTTGGCCAGGGCCTGCAGCAGGTGGAGTCTGTATGGCTGTCCTGCCTCGGGGCTCATGTCTGAAGGGCAGGGCAATTTTAGAGCTGTGTACGCTAGATTTGCCACTTCCAGGCTTTCGGACGGTGAGAGGGGGCAGTCCGGAGAACTGTTTTTGATGTGTGCCAGGATTCGTGGCACCAATCTGCGCTCGTGCATCCAATGCAGCCAGGGCCTGGCGACTGCTTGCAGCGGGTGTTCTGGCTTGGGACAACACCAGTCTGCGGAAGAGTGCATTCCTGCTCCGTCGCAGGTCGGGAGCCTGCAAGGCGCCAGTGTGATGGTTCTGGAGAATTCGGAGTGCAATGGCAGTGCTTGTCGGAAGGAGCCTGTTTTACTGACCCTTCCTACGTTTTTTTGCTGGGCAAGTTGCAGGGCCAGGGAAGGAGGGTATTCAGCGGTCGGAGTGCTGAGGTATACTCCTTGTTCTTTCACGCCTGCAATGCTTTGGTGCTTGTATGAGTGATTGCAACGGGCCTCCAGAGCCCGTATTTTCGAACTGTTGCAGCCGAACGCCCACGACTTGGAGAAGGCTTTATTGCGCCTGCAGGCGTCTACCCACACCAGGGCACATTGGTGATCACGTAGCATTTGGAAGTTGGCCTCTTCCAGCCATGGCTGATGGCGGCTGTTCCCAAACGCCGACGCCTCCTTTGGAGACCACTGCAGGGCTCTGCCACGGTCGTGGATGGTCTTGCTATCCAGCAGTTTTTTACGCTGTGAAGGCGAAAGGCCGGGGACCCCGTCCATGTACTGCGGCGTTCTTAAGGCTTTGGGCCCGCCCGGGCGTAGTTTGAGTCTGGAGTATTCTTTGCAAGGCGGGGCAAGCATTATCAGGGCCACGATTCCTGACCAGCAGAGTCTGAGAAGGGCCTCGAAGACTACGTTATCCAGGATGTCGTGCGCAGTGTCTCCATCTAGGTCAAAGGGCTCAAAGCAGTCAAGGCCAAGGCTAATGGCTGCCAACGTCACCGGGCGCAGCCTACCTGCAAGAGGCTGGATGCAACGGTGACTCCTATGAGCTTGCCTGGGCGGGCGTGTGTGGCCTTGGCGAGGCGCCTGGCTCGCTACGGTGCGCATAGGGCAAGGCTGGAGTCAGGGCAGCTTCCACTGGCACACGCAATGGTGAAAACGGCGCGT